GGAGGGGGAGGATCGTGGAAAGTGTCTTTGTATGTGTATGTGATCCACACCTTGTACGGGGTATGCATAAAAGCCGTGTGTGGCCAATAAAATTGTATTGTACCTCCAGAACTAGGTCTTGTCCAGGGAAATGGGTCTCATTACAGTATAAGTGGTTCCTGACCCGCTGAAGGAAGAGAATTAGCGGTGGTAACTTCTGGTGACATGTTCCAGGGGCATTTCCCACTGGACCTGAGGGGGAACAGCAGCATAAGCACACACATAATTACTTTACCTCTCAGGTACAGGACATGCAAAATAAAAATACCCCAAAATATATATTTAATGAGGTACCACTTCAAGTTTATATCCTTGGATAGCCTGGATCTGAGTGCCCAACATATCTCAAAATCACTCAGATCCTACAAATGTAGACGAAACACCACCGGGGTATAGTTATGACCGACCGCACACGAGACGCCTGCCCAGAATAGTTCCATGAATTCAGGCTGTGCGGTCGGTCTCTTTCAGGAGTACCAAAATACCTCACATACATATGAATACCAGTTTGTGCGTACATTTCAATAGTCTCTGTGGTGCAGGGAATGTTTCCACTGAACGCTGTTATGTTCATAAGAATATGGTCGAACATAAGTAGGGATGGAAGTCTCAGCGGTGATCGTGCCGTACAGTGTCCGATTTTAGTTCCATACACTCGACGACCAAACACCACTGGCCGTGTTCGTACCTCAAGATGGCCGCCGCCACGTATTCGCACATACGAATGACGACCACCCAGCTGACCTCTTAGAACATTGAGGTGTTTGCGGTTATGGAGGTGTTGGTAGAGGTCAAAAGGTTCAACAAGAGGCACACTCCGTATCTGGGTGGTCAGTCACTCAGTAGTTTATTCATTATTCGAACGGGGCAATGTTAATATAGGGAATAAATGTATTTCACCTAACAAACCGGCGGAGGGAATAAAAACTGTAAAATCCTGGGACAGGGAGATCGGTCACACCATTATATAGACTATGCTATGTCAGCGAAAACAAAGCATGGGAAGAAAGTCAGTCTGTTTGTTCACAGGCCGCATCCCATGGGGGTCGTTTCTAGCGAATGGGCAGCCGTAGGTAATAATGGCAAAGAAATACACAAACCTTGCGTTCCAGCCCCTGGACCATTAGGGAAACAACACAGAGAGAGAGAGTTAGTCGAGTTAATTTAAAGGATATGCTCTAACAAACGTCACAAAGGCTGGTAAAGTAGCTTCCTATGAAGAGGACTATATTTTCTGTGGTGGTATACCCTCCTAAAGATGGGATTTTACCACCTGTGGTTGCCCCTTTCAGTTGTGATCAGCTCCAGAGTGATTATAGCTGCGGAGTAGTGATTCTAGTTACTGCCGTAGGGTAACCACGGTTAGTGGTGTATCCTGGTTTTGTGCTGCCCTAGGCAGGACAAAACTCAAGTGCCCCACAATGCTCAGCTCCCTCGCGCACCGCAGAGTGAGGCTGGGAGCCAGAATATGACGTTATATTCCGGCTCCCAGCCTCACTCTGCGGCGTGCGAGGGAGCTGAGCAGATCGCTCAGAGGAAGAGCTTCTCTCGCCAGCCACACACCAGCGCCGCCCGCCAGCCCAGCATGTCAGTTAGCCGCAAGGCTAACAAGACATTTGCCCTGGGCATTTGGGGGCGGTGTTTTTTGCCGCCCCCCTGGAAAATGCCGCCCAAGGCAAATGCCTTGTTTGCCTCGCGGCTAATACGTCCCTGACCGCGGTATTATCCAAACACTTGTCGAGACTAAGTGAAGGGTGAAGTAGATCTGTTTATTCCCAGCCAAATGGCTCAAATTTATACAGAATTTGGGACAGTAGATGTAGCGGAACCAGCCTCGCCACTGGGCATTGGAGAAGACTGATTGCCAGCCTCCTGCCATGTGACTATGGCCCCTGGGATGTATTGCCTGCTCTCCTGTACTGCTGAGGATTGCTACCAACTAGGTGGATTTGGCTATGGAGCATGTGTAGTGCCCTCTGTTGGTAGCAACAGTAATATGCACTACCTGAATAGCAAGACTGGTAATTTGCATATTTGGGTAGATTTGCATATCGCTAATTCTGCATGCAGGAGAGACATTTTGTGTTAATTATGGTCTTCCCCACCCATTTATAAATATGTAATTATGTTATAATAAGTCACTGTATGTTGCCTGCTATGATTTGACGGTTTGTAATTTTATTGAGTTTTCACAGCAATGTTAATGTAATGACCATATGGGCTAGTCCCAAGTAAAATAAAGTTTTAGACAGTTCTACTTCACCCTCAATTTGGAGTCCTGTCTCTTATTGGGGGAATCTGCTACAAGGGATTGTTATGCTCTGCATATTCCCTTGCTATAATCACTCCTAAGCTCTTTTAAGAGCTTGTTCCTGCTTCGCTCTGAAGGAAGAGAGGTTTGGTGTCGGCTAGAGTGCTTGAAATCCTCAAGAGGCGCTAGGAGCATCCATCAACTGAGGTACCCAGTCAGGGTGCCAGGTGATCCGTGACAGTAGACACTCACCAAAACACGCTCATAAACACACCCACAAAATGCATTGTCATTGTGACTCAGCAAAAACCGTAACAAATATGAAAAAACATAAAAAACACATTTCCCACCACAATCTTTACATCCCTGGATAGCCTGGATCTGCGCGCCCAACATATCCGAAAAGCGCTCAGATCCCACAAACAGACCCGAAACGCCACCATGTGGAAATTCTGACCGGCCGCAGACATGGTCCTATGCCCAAAACAGTTCCAGGGCGTTTTGTGCTTTTGGACGGTCAATTTCGGGTGTTCCATGTGAAAGAAATACTGAACGCACACTCTGGCTTTTTGGTAGCGTTGTTCGTATGAACCATACAAACAAACCTACCGAATAGCGCTCTCCTGACATGTGGGGAAGTAGCAGGTGTTTAACTTCAGCTGTGTTTGGGAGTTTCAGTGTCCGATTTTAGTTCCACGCGATCAACACCGAAACACTGCTGCCTGCATTCTCGCAAACAAGATAAAGCCCACACTGATAGAGCTGTCAGGAGACGTTAACAAGGGTCAATAAGCTTAACGGTGGTCCGCAGTTCGTGTGTTGGTTCGGTTCCCGAACATTCCAAGGGAATCCCACGAACCCAGTCTTTCAATATCCATTTAATATGGCCCATAGTCCTGAAGCAGGAAGCTAGCAAGCGGGCTCCTCCAGGAGTTACTACAAGCACCATAACCACTTTAGTGCTTTGTAGTGGCTATGGTGCAAGGAAGCCGTTTGTGTATCTTTCACTTCGAAATGCTGCACATACAGAGATTGTTTATTGTATTTCTTTAATGTTTCTGTTGGAGGTGTAGTTCTGACAGCTTTCAAAAGCCAGTCTGGGCTTGCTGATGTTAATTCTGTGCTTATTCTACGCATATCCTTATTTGTTCGTAAGCTGTAATCGCTCAGCAGACGTTTATAGCCAATGAATGAGCTGCAGTATCAGTCTCTAGCGTATGCAGTTTTACAAAAGTCAGATGCATCTCAGTCTCCATTCTCGGAGGCGGGTTGCACAGGTTGGTTTGCCGCCTTACTAGGGACTGGTGCCAGGGTACACCTGGTGTCATATCCACTATAGCATCCTAGCTGCCAAGTAACCTAGGTACGCCTCTGCTTCTCACAGCACTTATTAATGATGGGTTCGTGCGTGCCAGTTCTTCCAATCACTTGTGCAAGAGATTCAGCTTTTATATGTGTCATCGCAGCCTCAAGCAGTCAGAATGTCCATGCACATAAATGTTACTTTAATGAAGAAAATAATCAGCATGCATTGAAGATTAATAAAATCATATGCGTGCACATCACATTGCATTAGGGTGTGCACCCAGAAAAATAAAAACAAAATTACCATGTAAACTTTACAGGGAAAAAACTAAATATAATCAATAAATAGTGTGTAGCGCTTCTATAAAACATATAATGCCATGAAGTGTTTAATATCACATATAAAGTGCAATCATTGTGCTTTTAAGTGTCAATTTAAAAACTATTTAAACATTTATCTTACAGTATGATATAACGTCAACAAACACACAATAGTGTAAACATAGGCGTTCCCTTATCTTGGATGGTCTTATGCAGATTACTCAGGAAATATATATATAGTATAATATTGTTTAGCAACTAGGTTACTATGTCTTTAATATATTATACGGCTCACTTTGACAGCCTTGTATGGTAAGGTACCATACACCCCTTTGGTGAATGTGCAGGAACATTGGATAACCACTAATATATAAAAAGTAGATACTTTATTGAGCTTTGTAAAAGGTATAAAATCAAACATGAAATAAACGAATACTTGTCCAATATTGCATTAAGATAGGGGTTTCACCAATATTGCTGGCTTCCTCAGTCTGGTAAGTACGTGCAATGTGTGGTCCTCCGAGTGTCTTCCTGTTTTTTAAAATGTTCTTAATCACCTTCTTAATCACCTCAGTAGAGCCAGGTGGAACACCGGCGTACTCTCCCACTTCTATTAGTGAACCCGCCACGTTCCAATCCTCGCTCCCAATTGCAGCCGCCATCTTGTATTTTGTCACCACTTCCATTTCCTGTTCTTCGTGTCAGGCTTGCATTCCAGCGCTTTGGTTCCACCTTATTCTGACTTGTATAACACATAACTAGACATAATTTGGATAGACCACATACGGCACTTCCAATGTAGATAAACTAAATTTCCCACAATGCTCGGTCACCTTGTGATTAAAATGACACAACGCACCAAGATTACATTAATGGATTTGATAGGTTTTGGCCTTGTGAACATGTTGAATGCTCAAATGATTGCAGTGTTTGCACACAAAAAAAAAAAATAGTAATAAATGTTTTGCCGAATGACGCACCATAAGCCGGCCTCTTTAGCCACACCCGTTCACTCCAGAAAAATATTATAGTCTATTAACTTAGGCCAACAACTACCAAATTCAGACCTTGAAGACATCATTGTAGAGAATTGAAAATGACATAGCATAATTACAGGAACTTCTGTTGTACAACGCTGGAACAGCGAGTGCATCATTGTTTAGCATGAATTTAGATTTTCAATGTCAATGGAAGTCATGGTTTAATGAATGAATTCCACTGACAGTAAAAGATTATTGGGGTTAATTGTTAAAGCAGGAATTGTGGGGAACTGGTAAGGAAACGTTCAGAGAAGGAAAAGGGTCTCCAAGTAATTATTTTGCTAGTTCAGCTACTTTGGCTGACATTTTTCAATTAGTTCCAATTCTAGTCCTAATTTTCTACAATTCTTAGTTTATAAGCCAGTACATATATCAGGCTCACGAAGAACGCTGCGTAGGAGTTGAAGAATATGATAAAACTTTATATTTTCTAATCATATAACACCACTGCTTTAATACCGTTCTTAAAATATTAATATTAACCCATTCTGGGTCACTAAGGTGAACTCAAAGGAAATTTCACAGTTTAAAATCAGAATAGCCGAACTGTCAATTCTCCCACTCAGCTACTCTGGCCTTAAAGCTAAAAATCACTTTTAATTCACCTTAAATTTTTGCTTTATTGAATAACCCAGCTAGTGTTAAAGGGACCTGTCTCCAGCAAGCACCTTGTATCATTAAACGAGCTTGCGCTGGATCAGACAGAGGGGTCTCGAGGACCACTCACAGAACACTGCATGGCCTGCCCAGAGTGGGCCAGAGAGTCTGTCAGTCCGTCTGGAATGCACTCACAGCAGGCTGACACGCCATTCTTACTCCGTTAGAGAATTAGATTTATATATAAAATGGAATGAAAATCAAATGACATCTTCTTTTAACAAAACACTTTAGAAAATACAATTACTTGAATTTTAATGTGGGATTCCAAATTCGTATTCATTTGGTGTTCGAGAGGAATGTGAAGTTTGATATCCAGCAATCAATATTATTAAATCAATACAAGTCCAGAGTCCACAACCACTTACAATAACATAAAGATCCAGCAGGTGTTGGGAAGGGTTAATCTGTGCAGCAAAGTGGAGGTGATAAACCAGGAGATGTTAACAGGTAATCGGTTAGATATAAGGGAAATCCAAAGTTAGTTACTCATTGATCAAGCAGGTTTATACAATTCTCAATTCCCAAGTCCAAAGCCCAGCTTTGTTACCAAGTGATCATTCAGAGTAGATAAGAGATGTCCAAGAAGCGTGTCTGTAATAAAAGCCAGGAGAGCAGAATGGTTTAACGTTGAGGCAGAAGCAGCTGGAGTGACACCAGATCTTGCTGTTCAATGGAGGGGCCCAGGGAAGTAATTCCTGCAAGGAAAGTTAGCAAGTGATTTAGACACATTGACAGTGCATGGAATCACTGACTGCCCATGTTTAAATAGGCAAACAATACGTCTGTCAGAGATTAACATTTAAAGTGAAACACACATACCAATATCAGAATCTCACAGCCTATTTTGGAAATGGCCAATCACCAACATGCTGCAATAGGCCCAGTCACCCCCTGTTCTAATGCCATACTCCCAAGGTTGTGAGGTATGGGTTAAAGAGACACTAATGTCACCCAGGAACATCTCAATTAAAGTGGTGTAGTGTTCATGTCAGAGTAACCATTCAAAATAAAACATTGCCATCTCACAGAAAAAGCAATATTTACCTTGCAGGGTTAAACACACCTCTAGTGGCTGCTACTCTTTATTTACCTGATCCCAGCACCAATATCTCCAATGGGTTGCTGCTCCGCCTCCTCCATCATCCATCGACGAATGGACGTTAATGTGCATGCCGCGTTCGCATTAGACCTCCCCATAGGAAACCATTGAATCAAAGCTTTCCTATGGGGTAAAATCTGATGGTGGACATTCTCATGCAGAACGTGAGGACGTCCAGCGCCGGTTACCAGACCAAAGGTCTGCTAGAATCCAAGAAGCGCCCCCCAGTGGCTGTCTGGGAGACATTCTGGTAGACAGCCACTAGAGACAGACTTAGAGCTACAATGTAAACATTCTAGTTTCTCTGGAACTGCAATGTTTAACATTACAGCACTAAGGGCAATAGGGACACAGCACCCAGACCACTCCAGTGGTGTATTTCCCACGAGGTAAACAAGGAATTTGCCTGGGCGGCATGTTTAGAGGGGCGGCAATAAAAGCCACCCCCTAAGCACCCTGGCAGATGCCTTGTTAACATCTTTCATGGGGGGGGGGCAAGATCTGTGGGCCAGGGGTATAGGGAGGCATGAGGAGACATGGTCCTTTGAGCTCTTTCTACTCAGCTCCCTCGCATCCCGCAGTGATGCTAGGAGCTGCGATATGGCGTCCCTCCGGCTCCCGGCATCACAGAGTGGCACGTGACGGAGCTGAGCAGGAGGAATACAGCTCCCTCGCTGCCACAACTGTGTACCTGCCTGCCTGCACGCCCCACCACCAGCAGCAAGCCCTCCCAGCCACCAGCAAGCCCCACTGGACTCCCTCACCGGCCCACGGGGATTAGGATGGGCCTAGGCACACCCGGCACACCCCGTGCGCACGCCTATGACAATACCACTGTTTGTATCTGAAACATAACAGCTGCCACACATAGTTTGATTTATTTTATTCATCTGTGCAGAGTGATATAGAGATTGTAGGCATCATTGTGCTTCCTTTAACATGAACGTTTATACTATTTATGTTTGTTTGTTTGTTTACATAGCAGATCAATGTAGAATATCAAAATGATAATAATAATATAGAACACATAATTTTAACACCTATGATAGTTACACTTGTCCTAATAGGAATGAGGGCATGTGATAATGGGCAACTTATTATACAACAATCATTTTATCCCAATGAAATATAAAGTCACATAGTACTCGAAATAAGTCTTCAGTTTAGCGTGCTCATGTTAGTGGGTTCAATAAAAATGAAATAACTGGAAGCTCGTTTGAGCAGCCCATTGTTCCTGTAATATTTTGTAATTGTTTCATTTATTGTTAAATTTCACCTTTTTGTAATAAATTGTAAAGCACTGTGGAATAAGTTGACATAAATTATGTAAATGACAACATAAATAGAATTATAATAAAAAACTAATTATCAACTTGAAAATTTGGCATGGGTTTAAAAATAAAATAAAGCACACAAACTCCTACAAATAAACGTATTTTCTTGCATTGTGCAATATTTTGTGTGTAATGCATTTAGGGGGAAAAATGGTTAAAAAATAGATCCATAAAGAGGAGGGACCTGCCATTCCAATACTAGAAGCTGATTTAAGCCTGGGGACTACTGTGAGTTTTATGGCATAACAAAAGGTCATTAACGGTGTATTTATTACTGCACTTTGAAAGCTTATTAAGACTAATAGGGCCAGGACGAACATCATTCAAATGTTTGCAGCTGCTTGAAAAGCACAATGAGAAGCCAGGAATATTCTAATGATTCCCATCAGCCAATGTCGGCAGCGCTTGGCCCCATTTAGCATACTTTGACTCAGCAAATCCACGAGCTACAATGCTGTACACACAATGAATACTTTGTATCAGCCAATGGGGAAGGACTTACCTTAATACGAATTGAACAATAACAAACTGCAACCAATAGCAGCCCAGTGAATCATTCACATTACAGGGAGGGGACACCTGAGCAAGTGGCAAAACGAGAGCCTGGGATCAAAGGCTTTTCGTAGCCTTGCTGTGCAGTAACGTAGAGCTAATCGCATTAACCAGTTAATCGCTATTTATTTACAGTTATAGGTCATCATACTCTAAATTACAGGGTCCTAAATTTCAAGGAATTGTAATATACCAAACAATATGCATCGTAACTTTACAATCTACATCTGTTTATTATTATTATTTTATTATTTATATAGCGCCATCAGATTCCGTAGCGCTGTACAATAAATATATTTGATATAAAACGTAAATACAGTAGGTCTAATAAGGTCAGGAATAACAGCGCATGCGCTTGACCAGTCATTCCTTCCTTAGTTCCCTCGGGCTTGGCTTTATAGGCCCCACTATAAGAAGCACCGTATGCCTGGCTGTACCATAACAGGAATAGGACGTAGACTGAAAAAAAACAAACATAAAAAACCCCATAGCACACCCTGTATAAAGATTTCGCATTCACTGAAACATTGTAACTGATAGTTGCAGCCACCACAAAATGGTGGGAACGGGTGGAAACCTTCTACCTGCAGTCCGAGAGGGAGCCCCAACTCCTCTGTCTATACTTGGCTGGCTAGCCCAAAGCCGGACAAAGACCTATTTTACCAAAAGATGCTGCGCCTGCATCTATTACTGGAGTAAAAAAGTAATGTAGCTTTATTTAAATGACGTTGTTAAAGGGACACTATAGTCACCAGAATAACAGCAGTTTAATGTACGGTATACAGCTTATTGTACGGCATACAGCTTAATGTACGGTATACAGCTTAATGTACGGCATACAGCTTAATGTACGGTATACAGCTTAATGTACGGCATACAGCTTAATGTACAATATACAGCTTAATGTACGGTATACAGCTTATTGTATGGCATACAGCTTAATGTACGTTATACAGCTTAACGTACAATACACAGCTTATTGTATAGTATACAGCCTAATGTACAATATGCAGCTTATTGTATGATATACAGCTTAATGTGCGCTAAACAGCTTATTGTACTGTATACAGCTTAATGTGCTCTATACAGCTTATTGTAATGTATACAGCTTATTGTAGTTGTTCTGGTGACTATAGTCAGTCTCTGCAAGCGTTTCAATGTAAGAGAAAAGGTAGTGTTTACATTACAGCCTAGAAACACCTCTAGTGACAGTCACTCAGACGACCACTAGAGGTACTAACTGGGTCAGTGCTGCATCTCTATGGGAAATGATGAACGCTCCCCATAGAGTTGCATTGATTCAATACATCTCTATGAGAAGATGCAGATTGGTGCAGCTCTGCGTTTTGCCACCCGATGCTTTAATATGGGAAAGCATTGGATTGGGTGAGATCAGTGGCACTAATAATAGTAAATAGTGAAAACTTTTATTTTACCACTATAGTGCCCGGAATAAATGTTTGTGTTCCTGACACTAGAGTGTTCCTTGCTGTTGTCTTTGTTCTTTAATAAACTTTATATTTAGCCTTCCCCAGTCCAGTGTTCCCCTCCACCTCTACCATATCTGGTGTCACCGAGGGTAATAGTTGATGTGGCCGGCCACCGCCTCTAAGTACTTTGCTCACTGAGTGTTCGTATAGTTTTTGCCTTGTATTTTTTGTTCCCAATGTTTATTCCCATGATTTTCCCTTGTTGAATGTGTTTCCCCATGTATCTATATGTAATTGTGATATATTTGTGTGTTTTGCCTGCTCCCTGTTTGGGAGAGCTCATACGAACAGTTCTGTTCGGCTCCCCGACACCTCATTTAGAATGTATAGTTAGAACGTTCACACCTCGCAACGAGGTGTGAAAACTGCAGACCGCAAGGGAAACAAGCGGCACATGCTTCCCCTGGGTGGCCGCCGGTTTATATAACCGAAAGCCCACCAGGGGCAGCATTCGTATCTCGAACCGGCATATGCACCCTGTCTCCGGTCCCCATGTCGGGGATCGTCCTACTCGCTGCCAACGGAGCTATGGTCATTGTTTCCCCCTGGCCGGGAGCTACAAGGCTAGGCTCATAGCTGCCCAGGAGAGAGCTCACTCCAGTGAATATCTGCGTGGGGATATCCACCGGAGAGAGGGACACACGCCACCAGAGAATCTCTGGAGCTGTGAGTCAGTCTCACGGCCGCAGAGTCCCGCTGGCCACATGGAAGTTTGTGCCAACCAATGGAGAAGAAGTGCCCATTCAAACTGGGTTTGCGCCATTCTCCTGATTGTTCAGCACGAGTGAGCGCTGATTGGTCGCTGCAGGGCGCAGTCTACCATTTAGAGAAGGAGCGCCCGTTCAAACTGGGCTTCGCACCCTTCCTCCAGATTGGGTGCCGATTGGTGCAACCGGGTTTTGTGCCCTTTCTTCTGATTGGGTCGGCAAAACTCCTTTCCTTTTGGTTCTCGCTCTTTCAGCTGATTGGTTGTTGCTTGGTTTGGGCACGAAGTTTGAATTTGTTGGACTAAACCAAGCAACTCCATGGAACTCATTGTGTTGTGTTGAATGGATACCCCCTAGGGGGGTCTGTGCATAAAATAAGCCTGTTTTCAATAAAGAATGTCAGTGTTTTAACCTCCATCTGGTTACTGGAGGGAAGGAAGATTTAACCCCTTTGTCTGCTGTTCCAGCTGGTAGGGGATGCAGCGGGGAACGTCCTTGTAAGGATTAAGAGAGCTAATTCACCTATCCGTTTCCCTGTTCCAGCTATGAAGCAGCCCTCTGGCGGAGGTACCCAGCCAGGGTACAGGGAGTTCTGCTACAGTTGCTACAAGATAAATGATGGTTCCTCCTTCCACGGCATTATGAACAAGTGAATGAGTTGCCGTGCTTGTCAGCCTGTGTGTCATTGTTTAAATGAATGTGGTGGTAGTTGCATTCCATGGCAGATGTCACGCTAGATAAGAGAACATCCCCTAAAATACAGTGACATAAAATCTCAGCTAATATAAAATATGTATAACAATAAAACCTGTGTTATGGTAATATGCCACCTAGGCATTCGAGTCTCATGAAATCTATAAATCACTCCATATTTAGTCTTTTTGGTCTTCACAACGTCCCACTGGTGTTATTGATCCACTATATACATTTCATTTTCATGTATTTAGACACAACACCATTTTTGTTAGCCAAATGTACAATAAAATTCATGAATTATTATTACTGCAAATATATATTGGTGTTTTCCACTAGGTAACCAGGAGGCTGGTGAGGGGATTATCTAGCAAAGAATCTTGGGTAGAAACCTCCCTGTTTTTTTCTGACACAAGTAAAAGACTCAGTGAATTCTCACCGAGCGAGTATAACCACATTACTAGCAAAACCTGTCCCAAACTGACGGCCCCCGGAGGCGTCTAGAGAGGGTCTGACAGCTTGTCACCCAGTACTGTTTGGGGCACTCACTGACCCCACTGACACTGCACAGCTTCACTTATTTCTTTTAGTGAATTCATTCGGGTTTTTCTTGGGATTCTGAATGGTAACTCCCAGTTAGGGCTGGATTGACACAGACATTACACATGTGGTTTTGTTGGATGAACTTTCAGAAATAGAACATTGCGTACATGGCATTGTATGATAGAAGATGTTCGGTATGCTGCATTATTATGTTTATAGAAAGAGTATGGTTAAAGGACCACTATAGTGCCAGGAAAACATACTATAGTGCCCTGAGGGTGCCCCCAGCCTCAGGGTCCCCCTCCCGCCGGGCTCTGGGGAGAGGAAGGGGTTAAACTTACCTCTTTCTCCAGCGCTGGGTGGGGAGCTCTCCTCCTCCTCTCCTCCCTCTTCTCCTCCTCTTTGGCTGAATGTGCATTCAGCTAGTCCATTGGAAAGCATTCACAATGCTTTCCTATGGACGCTGACGTCTTCTCACTGTGATTTTCACAGTGAGAAGCACGCAAGCGCCTCTAGCGACTGTCAAGAGACAGCCACTAGAGCAGGGGTTCTCAACCCAGTCCTCAGGACCCCCTACCAGTCCAGGATTTGGGGATTACCTGGATGTGTCTCAGGTGTTTAGAAAAAAAAAAAAACACCTTAGAGTCTAAGGCTTAGACTCTAAGGTGTTTTTTTTTTCTTTTTCTAAACACCTTAGGCACACCTAGGTAATCCCTAAACCCTGGACTGGTAGGGGGTCCTGAGGACTAACGTTGAGAACCCCTGCACTAGAAGCTGGATTAACCTGGACATAAACATAGCAGTTTCTATGAAACTGCTATGTTTATAGAAAAAAGGGTTAATCCTAGATGGACCTGGCACCCAGACCACTTCATTAAGCTGAAGTGATCTGGGTGCCTATAGTGGTCCTTTAATAAATCCCAAAACTTGCAAGCTATAAAATATTTACTGATATATACTTTGTCTCAATATTTTTCCTACCACCATCTAGAAGTTTCAATTCCCCAACCGTCATCAGTGATGGATGCTGTGAATTGACTCTACCTATAGAGAATATCGCAGGATTCTCCATAGACCTCAATGATGTACTCTCGCACCTGCAGAAGACCACCAGCCTGAAGAAGATGGTGGCGCCCATGAGGGACGGGTTCAGTTTGATTAAACTCACCTTTGCTTACCCAAGCCTATTGATCCCCAGAAGCAAAGTTTCCAGTCGGTGACAGACGCTTAAAAAAATAAATAAAAACAATATGCAATCTATCACCAGGATAAGACAGAGAAAACACAAGCCCACTCCATGTTATATCAAGCCCATTCCATGTTATATCAAGCCCATTCCATGTTATATCAAGCCCCCTCCATGTTATATCAAGTCCACTCCATGTTATATCAAGCCCATTATATGTTATAGCAAGCCCATTCCATGTTATATCAAACCCATTCCATGTTATATCAAGCCCACTCCATGTTATATCAAACCCATTCCATGTTATATCAAGCCCACTCCATGTTATATCAAGCCCATTCCATGTTATATCAAGTCCACTCCATGTTATATCAAGCCCATTCCATGTTATATCAAGCCCATTATATGTTATAGCAAGCCCATTCCATGTTATATCAAACCCATTCCATGTTATATCAAACCCATTCCATGTTATATCAAGCCCATTCCATGTTATATCAAGCCCCCTCCATGTTATATCAAGCCCATTATATGTTATATCAAGCCCATTATATGTTATATCAAGCCCATTATGTTATATCAAGCCCATTCCATGTTATATCAAGCCCATTCCATGTTATATCAAGCCCACTCCATGTTATATCAAGCCCATTGTAACAGACCCCCCAGGCATAAAAGGGTTAAACCGCCGTTTAGAAGACCTTCCCCTTCCAGAGATACAGGCACAGCTACTGCAGAACACCAAACTCCCAAACCGCATATACGGGAATGCTCTAAACTCCCGAACTGCATACAATATAGCACTCCAAACTCCAGAACTGAAACCTCACAAATAGCTGCTAGCAGATGAATAGGAAAAGCACCCAAGCGGCTTACACTCCTAGCAATCAGTCTCTATCAGCATACAGTAAATCCCCCCAAGAACGAGACAGAGCTCCGTGTTGAGGGTCAAGCAGTGGTCTGGTTTAATGAGGGCTACCTGCCCAGTATTTATGCAGGTCTCCCAGCTGGTGGACACTCCCCTAGGGGACCAAATGGGAGACTGTGACAAAGGACAGACATGAACCAATGACAGACACACAGAGTTAAAACATCCCCACAATGCATCCTAACTTCTCTCCCTCTGTCCTGGAGATAATGGGAAGTAATCCAATTATCTCCCAGGACAGAGGCAAAACTCCATTAACCACATGGCAGTAAAAGACAGTAAAAGACATACAAATGTATAAAGTTACAACTGTTGTACAAAACATATACATTCTACCTATCCCCAGGTAGCTTAGATCTGAGAGCACAAAAGTACCGAATAGCGCTCAGATCCTATGCACACAGTCCAATCGCCGTGGAGTTAAAGTGTTCACAAAGTCTGTTCACCATATGAATAGACTCCACGGGATGGCTATCTGGGGTAATGCTGTTCATACGGTTTAAACTACTGAATGAACAGGCATCCGGTTAAATGACCGAATGCAGAAGCAAGGAGGCTGACAGCTCAGTGGTGTTCGCTCAAATAAGTGTCTGTTCCATAGTATTTGCGCGAACACCGCTGGCCATTCGGGAGTTTAAAATGACCGCCGCTACGTGTTCTTGAAAGGGGAATTTTGCAGCATAATCACTAAGCTATTTTCAGAGCTGTACCTGACTTCTACTTCGGATCCAGCAGAGGGGAATAAGCAGCTCCATCACTACACAGCGACTTGCCGGGAAGAAAAGGATGTCCCTGTAACGGCTACCCGGGTAGAGTGAGGGTATCTGCTGTTGGAGACGTCCTTTTTCCCCTTTAAGCTGCTGTGGAGAAGTAAGCTGGTATAATCCCATCCACGATATCCAGAGTAAGAGTCAGGTTCAGCTGTAACAGGAGCAGAATAACATTCCCAAATAATCCCCTTCCAAGAACGAGACAAGGCTACGTTTTGAAGGGTCAAGAAGATCTCAGGACTGGAACACCCAGCCTGCTTTTTATTGGGATCAGGTACACACAGGATACTCCCAGGGGGAGGATAAAAACACCCAATCATATACCTGGTAACACCCCCACGTCTCCTCCCCTCAGATAACATATAACATAATTAAAACGTACAACATTTTACCCCAGTTCTGGATGTTCCCCAAAAACAGGGGGTACAGCTTTAAATCCTGGGTCGCTTGATAGCTCTCATTCAGGGGACCAACATGTCCAAAAATCAGCCCATTCGGATGAATAGTTCGGGAGATACAGAGTTCCAAAGTTTTGACCGACCGCACAGACCAACTAGCCGAAAATAGTTCCATGAGTTTTGGCCTTGCGGTCGGTCTCCGTTCGCCTGGTAAAAAGGTATGAAATTCTTGCCATCCATTCGAATCTCGGGGTTCGCCGCAATCCCCATAGATGATTGAACATAACTACCGAACGTCCGGTGATTCGGTAGTTTCCGTGCGAACTTCTGGAAGTATGGAGGACTCAGCGGTGTTCGCCTATTTGCGTATCCGATTTTAGTTCCACGCGTCGACAGGCAAACACCGCTGTTCGCACGTAAGATGGCCGCGGCTACGTGTAAAGTCCCGAAATGGCGGCCACCTATACTTTACACAGGGAATTCATGCGAATCCATTCGAATGGTTGCAATGCACTAAATGTGACGAATTCCTGCTGATTTTGGTTAGTTCACTGGCCCAGGCATACAGCATAGTTCTGTTACACTGCTCCCCTTTTGTGGAACACTCCGGCAGACCCGGATTGACCTTTTTCGGGTCAACTTGGGGCTGTCCGGTCTGCCTCTAAGGTAAAAGTTCTGTTTGCCTGGACAGTCCGTCTGCATTCCCATTGAACCGGCCTGGGCGATACTGGATGGAGAAATTATACGGTTGTAGGGCTAGGCTCCACCTCAGTAGTCGTCCATTGTCCCCAGCCACTCGGTTCAGCCATACTAGAGGGTTATGGTCTGTGATCAGGGTAAATTCCTGACCATAAAGGTAGGG